TATTTTAGATTATTAACACAGATTGAAAATATAAATTAAAAATTGAAAATATATTTAAATTTCAAAATTAAATAATAAATTATAATTAATTATGATATTATATTTAAATTTTCATGTTTATACTTACATTCATTATATTTTTTAAAAGTAGCTCGCTAAAAAATTAAATAATTTTAACAAAAGTAGCGGATATTAGCTATAGCTACTATCGCGCTACTTGTAGCACACTCTGCTAATAATATAATTGCAGATGATTTATCGCGAAACCCAATAGATAAAAATGATGATAGAATAATAAGCGAAAATAAAACAGTGAAATATATAAGAAATCTTACTTATGACATATTAACTCTATAAAGAAAAGTACTTAGAGAGGAAACCGCAAATGATCCAATTTTAAGAAAAGTAAAAACCATTAATAAATGGTACAAATATACCAGAGTTGTTAAAGTAGCGCGCTATCTTTTTTGGTAGCTATAGCTAATAGCCGCTACTTTTTTTAAAATTATTTAATTTTTTAGCGCGCTACTTTTAAAAAATATAATGAATGTAAGTATAAACATGAAAATTTAAATATAATATCATAATTAATTATAATTTATTATTTAATTTTTTCAATTTTTAATTTATATTTTCAATCTGTGTTAATAATCTAAAATAAACATCGCCCATGGATATCCAAATCCTTGAAAGTGATTCAGACATGGAAGATTCAATGGAAGAAAATGTACTTAATAGCTCTAATAACGATTTCCCATTCCCTAGATTTGAAAATTTTTTTTAAATAAATATTAAAACAAAATCTGGATTCAAATTCCTGTGCTTAAAATGTAAAAAAAATATTTCATCAAATCAATCGAGTAGCTATAACCTGAAGAAACACCTAAAGGTTAATTGTTATTTTTACATTATAATATTTATTTTATTAGACTGTTCACGCTAATTGCTATAGGGAAATAGAGAAACATATAAAAAATTTTGGTATAGGAGAATCTTCATTCAAAAAGACAAATACTATCCAAACCAAATTAACTGATAATAAACATGCCAATATTTCACAAAAATTGGCTGATAAAGTAATTGTTGATTTTATTATTGACACAGTTCAGCCATTGTCCTTGGTTGATAATCCATCATTTACTATGATGATTAAAACTTTATCCCCTGGCACAACAGTTTTATGTCGCCAGAAACTTATGAATAAAATAGCCGACAACTTCAAAGTGATGAAAGATGCTCTAATAGTAGAGTTATCAGATATATCTTATGTATGTACCACGGCAGATAGTTGGACACATAACAGAAGGTAAAAACTTATTTATATTTATAAATTGATCTGATTAAATATTTTTAGAGCTTATTTGGGAATCACAGGCCATTGGTTAGACCCTAGGACTTTAAAAAGAAGATCTGTAGCCTTAGCCCTTAAAAGGATTATAGGATGCCAGACATATGACGTACTTGCAAATAAAATTATTGACATCCACAAGTCTTTTAGGATTCATAATAAAGTTTGCAAGATGGTTACTGATAATGGGTCTAACTACCTGAAGGCATTTAGGTTATATCACAAATTTATTTATAATATTTATTTTAAGTTATGATTTTTTGGGCAGTAAATTAATCAGAATGGCTGGTTATTATTTAATTTATAAAATATTTAGTATTAATATTTCACAATATTTATAGAATTTTTATTAACTAAATACACACATATTTTAGTAATATTATGATTATCATAATTTATATCAAATTATAAATAAAATTAGTGAAATTAACTAATAAAATATAAAACAGAGGTGGATTATTTCATTAATTTTTATTGTACAGTGTCATTGAGCTAATCTAACATTTAATAAGATATGGTTATTGAATATTTCATGGATTATTAGATTTTTACTATATTTATTTCTTATTGATTAATTGCCATCAATTTATATACAGTACAGGGAATTCATTCAATGTATTCATTTGATGAAATATTTTTGTTTAGTTACATTATAATTCCTGAGGTTCAAAATTTAGAATACTAAGAAATGATTTTTCCACTCCATTTTTGATAAATATTACAAGACATTTCTATTAAAACTGGATGAATAATTTAATTTGTCCTATTTAATATGAATATAGAATATTTGGTGAGGAAAATGCTGTAGATGAGATACAGAATGATAGTCAACATGTATTAGAAGAGGAGGAAATAGGTGTTGATGCCAATGATATTAATGAGATCTTAGAAGAAGGTTTAAATTATTTTATAATACATGTTAATCTAATCAATATTCTATAGGATCTTCAACTAACTCCACAATGTTACCCAGCCATCAGAGATGCTCCTGTCATAATTTAAATTTGATAGCAACAGTAGATGCTGAAGGAGCTTTAAATGATGAAGATTTTAAAAGGGTGTCAAGATCGACATTTTATAAATGTCAAACTTTATGGAATAAGCAGAACAAATCTCCTAAAAGTTCTGACATGTTTAAAAAAAAATTATTAGGGAGGTATTTATTAACCCCTAATCGTACAAGATGGAATTCTGTATACCAAGCAATAAAACTAATCGCTTTTTTCTGGAGGAAAGAAGATTAGAGATTAATTATCTCTGTGATCTTGTTGAAATTGAATATATTAACGATGAAGAGCATACTTTTATAAAGAGTATACAGAAGTAATTCTAATTAATAATGATTCATTTCCATATCATTTTATTTTTTAGGTTATGCAATATGTTGCTGTTTCCCTTGAAATTTTGGAAGGTGAGGATAATATGGAGATGGGGTATTATGTTCCCACTTTAAGTATCCTAAATACCAAATTAAAGAGATTGAATAATCTAATCTTATGCCAGCCCCTAGTAGACTCTCTGTTAAAAGGCATTGAGAGAAGGTAAATAAAATTTATATTGTTTTGATTTTGACTGAAGATTTATTCTAACTTAATGTTTAAAGCTAAAAAATTTATAAAATTTTATGATTAAGATATATTTAAAATACTCTATTTTTGTAACTTTAAGATTCCCAAACTTATACAATGATGACAATGTCTTAGCGGCAATGGTTCATCCAAAATTTAAACTAAACTGGCCATATATAAATTCCGATGATGCCAAACATCAACGCGATAGGCTAATGGCGAAGCTGAATAATCTTACTCCAACAAACATAGATTGCCGAGTATCTACCACGAAGACATCCTCAAATAATTTTTTTAAAGATGATTTAATAGAAAATCCAATGATCTTTTTTTTCAATCAAAAAATATTGAAATGAATATTTTTGATAATTTTTTATATTTTAAAAATTTATATTTAAAATTAAATACCCCCTTGCCCTCAAGTGCTTGTGTCGAGAGATTATTTAGTAAAGCAAAGCTTATACTTTCTGATCGTCGCTCTAGACTTGGGGATGATAATATTGAAATGATATTATTATTAAAATGCAACAAATTAAAATAAATATTTATTTATATTGCTTATTTTTTTATAATCTAAACTAAATATATTTTTATATTTATAAATGTTGATTTTTATATATTATTTATTATACATTTACATTATAAGCAAAAAAAAATAAAAAAATTTTGTTTCATTTGTTTCTAAATTTTTTTTTAAAAGTAGCTAATAGCGCGCTACTTTTTTTGACAAATAGCGATAAGCGGTAGCGCGCTACTTTTAAAAATAGCGTTTAACAACTCTGAAATATACAAAAAATAGCACAAGAATTACAAGCTTTTAAAACAAGAATAGATCAAATAGAAAATGATGACTGTATTTTATTTTGGAATGGCAGATTAATCATTCCGTACTCACTTCAAAAAAGTGTTTTACATATATTGCATACGGGATATCTGGGTATTACATCAATGAAATCCATTACGAGATATTATATATGGTGGGACATTTTGATGAAGATGTCGAAAAACTAGTAGTGTTCTTCACTTAAAAAAACGATTGGTACAATAAAAAAAGAAATATTGTTATTGATCATTTAATTAATTATGATTTTTCTTTAGTTTGTTTTTGGACAAAAATTTTAAATTTGCATCCGCCCGCCCATTTAGATGGGCCGGTGTGGGCAGGGGCCGAAACCCCGCCCAATTCAGACCTCTATTCTGAATCTTATACATTTCCCAGTGTTTCTACTAGTTCCTAATTAATTTTTATTTACTTCATTCTCTAAAACCTAATTCAAGGTTATTCGAGTTAAATATAGGAGTATAATTAATTTTAAAAATCAGATTATTTTAAATTAAAATTTTACTTTTATTTATATGAAAAGTTAGATTTTTGTTAAAAATTTAAACTTTTATTAAATATAAATTTAAACTTTTTTAATTGAAAGAGCTTAAAAAAATGAATATGTTAACTTTCAAAAAGCCTCTTAAATAAATGGAATATCTTGTTTTATGTTTTTTTCAAAAAACGAATTTAACACACGAACACGTTCGTTTACATACACTATATTTATCTGATTCCTAATTAGATGCGTTACACTATATAAAGTTTGCAATGATTAAGAAAACGTTAACATCAACCTAAACAGTTAAACTAAATCAACCAATGCTGTATTTTTTTTCGATTATATTGTTATTTGTTATTAAGATTCTGCAATTTTGTGGAATGGGCTATTAAATCTGGGTTTCAAAAAAAAGGAAACCACTCTGTTTAGTTAACGGTTATAATAATTCATATTTTAATATTAAAAGATTTTTTTGATGATATAAAAATATTTTGGGGATTTTTTTTGTTTTATACCTGAAAAAATATATAAACTATCGATATGCCAAAATTGTGATTCATGAATCATGTTTTTATAGAACTTTACATTGATAACTGTAAAAATTTTAGTTACTGATTTACAAAAAATAGAAGCTTAAATCCTTATTTTTATTTGCAACTTGAAAACGTTTCCAAATCATAAATACGTTTTGAGTAATTATATTTTATTATTTTACTATGCACAACATTTTTTATATAAATATTTTCTTTCATTATTTAGGGCAATAAATATTTCGAAGTGCTAAAGCATTTATTGGCGGATGAAGCTGAACACGTAGCAGCTCTAATGCCTCCTAAAGTTTGGGAAGACATTAGGTAATATTATAGTTTAATGTATATTATATTTATTTTAACAGCAATAGGTAACAACGAATATGACGCATAAAATTTTTGTACAAAGGATTTAAGGGGTTAGATAAAAGATTTTTTAAATTCAGGATTTGGTAATTGAATAAGCTTGACTTTACCCTTATGACAACAATGGTTTAATTTACCACCTGAAGGACCTTCGGCTAAAAAATTTAAAGATTTTCAAAATTGGCATAATAAATTCATAACACCACAGTTATGTTGCTCCACTAATGGATTAATTTTAGAGAAAATACTAGGCAGATGTTTTAATTTTTCCCTAAATCATCTAGTGCAAGCACGAATCATATCAGATTTGGGTAATTCCATACCAAATCGATAACTTTTCGGCCCGACCTTTTTAATTTCGATAAAATTTTGCACGCTGAGAGGATATCATTAGAAAGCATCGAATCCAAAATTTTAGCTCCCTAGTACTCAGTTCCTGAGATATCAATGGTCAAAAGTGCCAAAAATGACCTTTTTTCTAAAAATACGATTTTATAAAATTGAGATAAGTTAAAAATAATTATTCTAAAAATATAAGTTATATGTCATTTTGTAACTCTATTAAAAGCCTTTTATTAAATATTAAGGATTTTTTTGAAATAATATTTTTGCGGTTTTTATTTACATTATAAATTTTAAACATGAAAACTCCAGATGTTTCGCTTTCCAAATTTTTTTGAATTTAATATTTTCTTATTCTCTTAAAAATTTAAATATTAATTAATTTTTATTTTACAAATATTTTGATATTAAATTTTCTTTTCATAAAATTATTTATAATGTATAAATATAAATGCATAAATCCTTTTAAAGAATCTTAAACACTTTAATTACAAAAAGAACCTGCGTAAAGTCATGACGTGGATGACACAATATTCAAACATTGAGGCGGAACACTATATTTGTGATAAATGTCTTAAACGGTTATCACAAAAAAATATTGAAAATATAAATTCTGATAGCTAATATGTATATAATATTAACACAGCATCAACAAAAATAGATACATAAGAAGAAAAAAACTAACCGAAAAAAATTATCCAAAAAAAGGTAGCAAAAATATCAAAAACTATTTCAGATATAATAATTAACAATCCCGAATCGGATACAAAAAACAATAATGATATACTTAATAATATGAAATTACAATATACTAATTTATCTAAAAATAAAAAATATCAATTGCTGACCATTCTGCCTCCTAATTGGAGCGCAAATAAAATAAAAACGACATACGTTACATATCATATGGCATATAATTCTAAAATCATTTTAGAAGAAAAGGGGATTCTTTCAACTCCAAATGGAACGCCTACAAAATGGCTCAATTAAAAAACAGTTGATATTGTTAAAAAATTTTTTTGCAGTGATGAAGTTAGTAGGGTATTACCAGGAAAAAAAGATTGCATATCTATCATTGAAAAGGGGGAACGAGTTAACGCTCAAAAAAGGTTAGTTCTTAATAATTTGAAAGAATTATATAATCATATTAAAGCTAGTAATTCAAACTTAACAATTGGATTTTCGAAATTTGCTAGCTTAAGACCAAAAAATTGTATATTAGCGGGGCTAGTGGAACACATAGTGTATGCGTTTGTAGTATACACCAGAATATTATTATGATTTTAGGCTGTGAATTAGCAACATTGACTAAAAATGGTGAGGATACATTAACAATTTATAGAAATGTTATAGCCAGAATGATTTGCAATCCCCCGTTGCCCACATGTTATTTTGGTGACTGCAACGAGTGTCCTGGCTCGGCACTCTTATAAGAACGCATCGAAAAATTATTTATAAAAAATATATAGCTCTTGTTACGTTTAAACAGTGGGTTTCGGTAGATAGAACAACTCTGGAGACTATTTCTCAATCTTCAGACGAATTTATGAATTATTTTGGATAAAATGAATATTCTCATTAGTGATCTGCATCGGGCCTAATTTTTCAAGCCTGGCCCGACCCGAAATTTTTTTAAAAAGTTTTGCCGGCCCGAACTCGTAATTTTTTTAAAAAAAATTTACCGACCCAGCCCGGCCCGAATTTATTTAAATATAAAAATTAATCTTTATAATTACTCAAAATAAAAGACATATGTTATATGTCATTTAGTTTCAATAAATAAAATCAAATATTTTTATTTTACATAAAAAATTCAATATAAAATTGATAAATTTAGATATATTATTTCCAATTTCCGACCTGACCCGGCTCAAATTTTTTTTTAAAATATTAGGCCCGGCCCGAACCCTATTATTTTAAATTGAATTAGGCCCGAGCCGGGACCGAAGCCCGTTTGGGCCGGGTACGGGCCGGACCTAACTTTGCAGATCTCTAATTCTCATACGACATTCATTTATTTGTGAATAACAAAGTTCATTTCACAAAAACCTTAAAATTAGTTTAGAAAATAATCACTATCTAATTATTTGTGACTTTTCAGAAAATTATTCCTTTATTGTCCAAGACGAAGTAGGGTTATCATTGGACAACTTCGCAAGTTACGTTGCACCCATTCTCAATTTATTATAAAATAGGAGATCAAATAAACAACCTAAGTTTTGTGGTGATATCGGAATCCATAATTCATAATACTGTTTCATTCCATTTATTCCAATCGCATTTGATTCATTTTTTATAAAATAAATTCGACACTCCACCAGAAAAAAATCACTACTTTTCTGATGATTCAGCAGCACAATATAAAAATAGGAAACACTTCATCAATGTTTGCTACCATGAAATTGATTTTGGTGTTCGAGCAGAATGACATTTTTTTCCTACGATACATGGTAAAAGTGCTTGTGACGGCATAGGCGGCACAATAAAAAGGCTAGTTGCCATTTGCCAAGGCAAGCTTACAAAGACTTTATACTGATCAAATAAATACACCTTAACAATTTTATAAATATGCAGAAGAGCATATAAAAGGTATAAATTTTTCTTATGCCACTATACCAGAGTATGAGGAAGAAGAGATTAGGCTAAGTGAGAGATTTAGTAAATCTATCTCAATACCTGGGACACAAAAAATTCATGCAGTGTTTCCGATTGGTTTAACTAAACTCAACACTAAACTATATTCTAATTCACAGACATTTATTGTGGAGAATATAGTATATCCACGTGAGGATCCTTTGATTGAGGATCTGATAATTGAAAACGATTGGTGCTTAGGATTTGTACAAGAAGTGAATGTAATTAGAGATGAAAAAAATTATACAATGCATTAGATAAATTAAAAAAAATAGAAATGATAACAATATTATACCAATTTTGAACCACAAGATGAAACTTGTGGTTGTCGCAATGTATAAATGGAACATTTTTATTAAAAAATTTTTGTAAGATTTTCACTCCTCAATTTCCAGACATGACGTTTGCACTATCATATACCTGGCTTATTATATTCGTTGAATTAATATTTAACTTATTAAGTTGCTTTAAAATGCAATCAGTAATGCTTTCAGTAGAAAGACACTGTAAATTGATAATTCCTATTTAATTTTCTTAAATTTCTCCAGAAAAAAATATAGCGAATAATTATTCTCAGGTTTTCACAACCTGATGCATCTTTTGCCTCATCAGCCTTAAGACAAAAAAGGCACTCACTTTTTATATATTTTTCTGAAATATTTAAGGCACCATATCTTCCATAATAGATTTTACTTCCTTTTGAATCTGGGATGATGTATATGGGCATTTTTGGGTATTTCATAATTTTATTTAATCCAGAATATTTTTGGATGGTGTATGAAACATTGAAGAATAAATTATGTTATCATCTTTTGCAGTATCGGTAATTTATGTTGAACCAATCCCACGAAAAGGTAGCTCATGCTAAGAAATAGCATCAAATCAAATATTGATTTAAGATAGTAAAATTATATTATCACTTTCATTTTTACAAAACTTCAATGCACACTTTAAAAAATAAAACAAAACAATGGTGAAAATAATATTAAAATTGCAATTGACATATTATATCTATATTCTATATAAAAATATATAATTATAAGAAAAATTAAAAAAATAATTTAAAATAATATATTTAGGTATAGCCGGTGGGGCTTAATGACCCATGTATGGATATAACAGTTGGATCGACAAATTTCAATTGATATTCTTTGTCGAAGGTTAAAGCCTACTTTTGGATCACCTGTGATTAAATGTAACCTTATTATGGTTAATTTGTTGGCTTCCAAAATTGTTCATATCTCAGTATTTTCTTCATAATTATAAAATATTCACCGCTGTTTTAAATAACTGGTTATATTATAATAAATAAAATAATTATCATTGAAATAAGTACAATTTAAACGTGATTAAGCGCTTATATAATGTCGTACACAAACACAAACATAAATGAAAATGATAAAATATGAATGAATGATGGTTTATTATTGGATAAAAATAAAACAGGATAGAAAGAAATTTACAAACTAGACAGACATGTCTTGAATAAATATTTAAAATATATTTTAAAAATATAATAATAATTATATTACAAAAACAAATTTTAAATTTGAGGGGGGGGGCGGAAAAATTTATGGGGGGGCCAAAATTATTTTCTGGGGGCTAGATTTGTGGGCCCAAAACATATTTTTGAAGAGGGAGCTGCTCCTCCTCCCTCTGCTCCACGTATGCACATAATATTTCATAAAATAATCAACCAATATTTTTAATTAATCTATTCTGTAAGAACCATTATGTAAAGAAGTTATTGTATAAAGAAATTCAGTTGCAGATTAAAATTCTTAAATATTTATACCTAGTATTTGGGGTGCCTTATTCTTGACATTTGTCAAGACTAGTGTTGCGTAATCGGCTAAAAACTACACCTAAGCCTAAAAATCGGTTAAACCTAATTAGGCTAAGCCTAAAAATTGGCTAAAATAAATTAGTCAAAAATTCTGCATCGATGCCTAGTATTAATTATTGTTTATTTATTTCAGTAAAACAATTTATTTTATTTATATTTAATGTAAATATTTTATTATTATCAACAAACAAACATGATATGATTTAATATTTTTTATTTATATTGTTATATTTTGAAATGAAAATAAATTTATTTATTTGATGTTTTTTTAATAAAAAAAATAATATGCTGCTATTGTAAAAATGTAATATTCTTTTTAATATAATTTATTTGTGATTTTCACAATCTTCTTTGTAAATACATCTTTTATTGAGGAATTATATTGTAAATTTCATTAGATAAAAAAACAATCTATAATTTTTTTGATCAATTTTGTTCTATTTTTTTATTAAATGTGGTGTTGTTTTAAAATAATTTTTTAAAAATATTTATGTTAAACTTTTTTGATGTTATTTTATATGATCTTTTTATGGATAAAATATTTCAATGTGACAATTGTCATAATCGTTCTTTTTAAAGTTATTGAATTTTTTTGACGAAAATAGATTAAAATAAGTATTGATAAATTGTTTAAATAAAAATTTAGTGAAGATGTACCATAGAAAAGTGACTATTGTCATAATCGTTATTTTTAAAGTCTTTTGAATTTTATTGACGAAAATATGTTAAAATAAGTATTGATAACATTTTTAAATAAAAATTTAATGAAGATGTACTCTAGATAAGAGACAATTGTCATAATCGTTATTTTTAAGTTTTTTGAAGCAAATGGGTTAAAATTAGTGCTATAATTAATTTTATAGGTTAAGAAATTAAAATACAAATATTTATTTTTTTAAGCTAAAGATAATTTGATTGATAAATAATCAATTATTAACTCGACATTTTTTTTTCTATTTTTCCATAAAATTTGATGTTATTAATAAATTTTTTTTTATTAAATATTTTTAAAGGTGATTTTTATATTAAGTATTGTTTGGAATTTTTAAATATGATTTTTGTAAATAATTAATTTATGAGATAGCAGTAGAGGTGTTATTTGCATGCCTCTAATTTTTAAAATATAAAAATTTCGTCCCGCCTCCTTTTTTCAAAAAAAAAATTATGCCTGGCCAGGATTTTTAGTCCGTACATTATATATTCAGGGCCGGCCCGTCCTGGATTTTTCTAATGTGTTTTATGTTAAATATGTTATCAATACTTATTTTATATTTACTTCAAAAAACTTTAAAAACTACGCTTATGACAATTGTCACTTATCTATGGTACATCTTCATTAAATTTTATTTAAATATGTTATCAATACTTATTTTAACATATTTTCGTCAAAAAATTAAAAATACTATAAAAATAACGATTATGACAATTGTCACTTATCTATGGTACATCTTCATTAAATTTTATTTAAATATGTTATCAATACTTATTTTAACATATTTTCGTCAAAAAATTAAAAATACTATAAAAATAACGATTATGACAATTGTCACCTTTCTGTACGTTTTCACTAAATTTAATTTAAACATGTTATCAATACTTATTTAAACATATTTTCGTCAAAAAAATTCAAAAAACTTAAAAAATAACGATTATGACAATTGTCACTTTTTTATGGTACATCTTCACTAAATTTTTATTTAAACATGTTTTCAATACTTATTTTAATCTATTTTCGTCAAATAAATTTTAAAAATAACGATTATGACAATTGTCACATTAAAATATTATTCTTAAAAAGATCATATAAAATAACATCAAAAAAGTTTAATATAAATATTTTTAAAAAATTATTTAAAAAAAACACCTCATTTAATAAAAAAAATAGATAATTTTACAAAATTGAAAAAAAAATTATATATTCACCTAAAAGATTGTTTTTTTTATCTAATAAAATTCACAATATAATTCCTCAATAAAAGATGTATGTATTTACAAAGAAGATTGTGAAAATATTAAAAAGAATATTACATTTTACAATAGCAGCATATTATTTTTTTTATTAAAAAACATCAAATAAATTAATTTATTTTCATTTCAAAATAAAACAATATAAATAAAAAATATTAAATTATATCATGTTTATTTTTGATAATAATAAAATATTTACATTAAATATAAATAAAATAAATTGTTTTACTAAAATAAATAAATAATAATTAATGCTAGGCATCGATGCAGAATTTTCGACTAATTTATTTTAGCCAATTTTTAGGCCTAGCCCATTTTTAGGCTTGGCCAATTTTTAGGCTTAGCCGATTATTATGCTTAGCCTAATTAGGCTTAGCCGTTTTATAGTCGGCTAAAATTTGCCGATAACGCAACACTAGTCAAGACTACGACAAAATAAGGCTATTATTTAAACTTAATATTTATTATTTTTTTTAAAAAAAAATAAAAATATATCTATTTTTTTAATGAACATGGTATCCATAACAAATATGGCTTTAAACCTTATGAAATTAAATTTTTTTAGTAGGATATCAACTAAAAAATACATTTATTTGGGGATCAGTCGACCCAAATATAAATATGATACTTTTGACTGATAATTGCAAAAAGATGTTTCAATATATTTGGATATTTAATCTGATTTACTCCACCACTTCAACACTTTTTATGGTTCATTGAACTTTATAACTATTTCATAATATATTTTTTATATTCATATCATTACAACATTTTCTTAAAATATGATTTAATTAATCATTATTGAATACAGTCCACTCTTTTTCGTTACATTTTGGACGTTTTCACGGTACGATATCTACTTTCCGGCTGAGGCCTATGCCCGAGAGATAGCTAAGCTTAAACATACGCTCAATGCCTTAGACGAAAATAATCGAGATGTAAAAAAAATTACAATTAATTGACTAATAAATAAAATTCTATTTGAGATTCTAAAAAAATTGAAGTATAAAAATCGATTCTACAAAAGAGTGAAGATTTATTTATTTGAATTAGATTGTCACCAATGAAACACTCCAAAGGTGAGACCTTACCTTGTTCCCACGTCAGTTTCAATTTGACCAAAACATAATCACTCTTGAATGACCATTTTATTAAGGTTTCTCCGTGTAATACATTATGAAATTAAAGTTGCCTTTATATCTTATTGAACAAAAAAATTTTCAGTCATTGCCGGTGAAAAAAAAGAAAGAAAAAGAGAAGCTGGTATCGTTGGTGGATAAACTTAAGGAGGAAGAAAACGTTCAAAAGGAGCATGTTAAGGCAATTAACGAAGTTTTTGATCAAATCAAATCTGATTGGTTTTATCAACGTGAGCATTCTTTTGTTCTTTTTATATTTCGATTTACTAACCTTAAATTTAGTAGGATATAGTCGAATCAGTGTTGTAAAGTAATTTTGAGGTCTGAATAGCTACTCGTTGCTTTTGTAATTAATTTAAAATAACGTCATTAATAATTACGGTACTCAGTTGTTGAAAATTAAAAATAGTTATATTTAACTATTTTATAAATCCTATAGAAAAAATTCAAATATTAATTTTTGATTATAAGAATTTTTTTTAATAATAATTTCGATCTTGATAATTTGATTGAGGTTGAGGTTCAGGGACAATAAAAGTAAAATCGGAAATGTCATAATTTATTATTTTACCAATACTAAAGATATTTGAGAAATAAAATGTTATTATACATTATAAATATTCTTCTTAGTATGTTAATATAATAATCTATTTAGCTTTATACGTTTACACCACTGAGTTGATGTTTGTAGATTACTTAAATTTATCACAAATTCGTCTCCTTATTCAAATCCACTATTAATTATTTTTTACCTGTATTGCTCAGAAGCGTCTAGGAACGACATGATAACTCAATTCCTCCAGAAATGCATATTCCCTCGTGTCGCATTTTCCGTTACAGATGCCATCTATTGTGCCGAATTTATAAAGCTGCTGCATTGTCTCAAGACCCCTTACTTTGCCACACTCATTTGTTTTGATAGGGTTATGATTTTTGAATGATATTTAAAAAGAGAGAGGAAAGAAAAGCGACTTTTATTACTACAAAATATAATGATACTCAAATGTAATAATGTGTTTTATTTTCTTTATTTATCACATAACATTGATTGTTAATAGCCAAGGAGGAATAATATTTGATCATAATTTAAAAAAAATAGACTAATGATATACTTTCATTATTATATTGTTAAAAATCACCGATTATTCTATCTATTTAAATGGAAGAACTAACTCATAATAGTACGTCTATTTCTGAATATAGACATTAATGCATTTTTATTTTGTTGTATTGAGTTATTAATACAAGAATTTCTGAAATAGACATTAACCATGCATTTTTGTTTTGTTGTATTAAGTTATTATTAGACCTTTGCATAGATTTAAAAATCGAATAAAAAGTTATTATATTGGCCAACAAATTTTAGGAAATGATCTACCTCATAAAAAACAAAAACTTTTTATGACTTGCTGGGCTATTATAATAAAATTAGTTAGGAGGGTATAAAATTTAGTGTTAACATGATTGTGAATTTATTACAATAGTATTTCATCCTAAATAATATTTCTTGAGTTTTTTTTATTTAGATAGCCAATTCCACTCAAATCAATTTTACAAATTATTTTTTATATTTTATTACATACAAGCAAGGTGATTTTTTAAGGAGGCATGTTGAATGTAAAAAGGGACAGAGATAACTGCTAAGGATAAGATGCTAAGCCCAACCACATTGAGTGATGATTTATAAATTCCTTTAATTTTATAATTTAGATATTTTGCGACGTGACATATATCATGATAAGTTTGACCGAAAACGAGGCCGCTCGCTACGGCATATTTTTGAATTCGCTCATGGAAACTGCCCTAAGCTGGCATTCTACCTATGATAATTATAAAAAAGTGTTTATTTTATATATAAAAATTTCCTATCAGGGTCATTTCATATTTATTTCTCAGTTTAAATTTAAAGCTTCTAGTAATTTTAAAAAATAGATCCATTATTAAAAAAACATTTCACATTTTTTTTCACCCATATAATATAATCAAAATTGCCCCACCCCCCACCACAAGGAATGCATCGGTTTTCCAGGTTTCAACGTTCTTAAAAACAACCCTTCCTCTACCATTGATCCATCTTTTCCTAAATTGGTAAACGATTCCGCTCAGACCAGTTCTGGTTCTGTTAACCCGACTTCTGCTGGCATGGACGCAACAAGCACCACTGCTAAAAAACTATCTCATCAATCCCCATCAAATCAACAATACCTCTCTTACGAAGATTTTAGACACGTGTGTCACAAGTGGCACTTCAAGATGACGAAATCGGTCGTTCTATGCCTTGAATCTGGTCACTACGCTTCCATTCGCAACACCATGATCGTGCTAACCAAAGTAAGGGATCACTAGTTTGAGTTCATTTTTTTTATATTCAAGACCCTACCCATGTACCCAGGCCGGGCCTGCATGTCCCTGATAAATATAACTAAATTTTTAAATAATACATTAGAATATCTAAAAAAAATACTAATATTTGTTTAACTGTATAGTAGACAAAAAATGAAATGTTTAAATAAAAAACACGTTATTAGACCAAAAATAGAATTGACACTATTTCGCGCGGAAATAAATCTCCCAAATAAAAATGCACATATTTACTCTTTTTACATTTTTTTAAAATTGCCTGCAAAGTAGCTTATAGAATTTTTTATATTTCATTTATAAAATAATATTATTTTTAAAATTCTTGCTAGGATTTGTTTTTAGAAACAAACAAGTTGTTTGCTTAATACATTTTTTTAATAAAAAGATTAGAAAAGCTACAATACATTGCCTCTTATTTTATTTGAAAATTATATTTTTTAAATATAGGAAATGTCAATAAATATGCACAATATACAGTTTCGATTATTTACACAAGTTTGATTTTGTTACAGCTATCCAAAATAGCGTTAGCAGAATACCATTATACTATTTAATCATATTACTGTTTTTTCTCTGGCTAAAGCCTTATATAATATATAAAAATCAGATTTTACCAAGTTACCCCATAATAGTTAATTTGGGATCCGCATTGGAAAGACGTATAGACAAGATCAAGAATGAAGAAAAAGACAAGCGGGCCGATTTGTATGCTCTAGCTGTTTCGTAAGTATTTTTTTAAAAATACCCTTTTGCGATTTTAAGCAGAATATAAAAAGAAAGATAACGTACGGATAAATATGAGCAAAAGAAGGGGGGGAATCTAATTAATAAAAAAATGAATGGTTATTATTTCATATTTGATTTTTCGATTTTTACAGTTATTCTGGATACCTGAAACATAAGAAGAGCAAGTTTATCTTAGAACAAGATTTTCACATCAAGGAAGTATGCTTCAAATATCGTTATTCATTTTTGCGTCACAACTATTTTATTTTTTACAATTATTTTGGAATTTTAAACAGCAATTTTATAATATCTAGTTACATTGTTTTTGAAATGGAATATCATTACCCATTTATAAGTGACAACTCGCTTTTAACTTATAAATTAATTTTTTTGATAATATTTAAGGAATACCATTTTTATAACAAAAAAATTTATAAAAGCTCAGAACTATTCATTAAATTGCTATGAAATTTATTATCTTAGTACTATTGATTTTACAAATTTGTATATTATTATAAATTTTCAAAAATATAAATTGTTAGCTACAATATCTTTAAAACGGAATCTTTTGTTTTATAAATATGGTTAGCTTAACGAAATTGGGTTAAAATTAAGTACTAATAAATTTTGACACTCATCAAATTTTAAATGGTTTCTTTATAAATGAGTCATGAGATTTTAATTTATCTACATTTGTTATTCATTAATTATAACCACTCAGCCGTCAATTGCCAACATAGGTAGTAAGAGTTTTGTGAGCCTAAAAATGTCTTTACAGATAAACTGGTGTGTCTTAATGTAAAAATTTTGTAAAAGTTTTATTATTATATAGCATTTATTTATAATCATTTAGTTGTGTACTTTATATATGCATTATTAAATCTAACAATCAATATTTAAAAATATATTTTATATTAGGGGTGTACCGATACCACTTTTTGGTGGCCGATCCGATATGATCCGATATTTCAGATATTAAATTGATATCGGCCGATAACCGATCCGATATCATATCTAATTTTGTATTCTGCAAAGATACCGGTTTTAATTTTTAATATACTTTTTATTAGTACAACATCTATAATTTTACTATACCATAACATATGTCATTTAAATATATTATAATGGTCAGTTATAGTTTATATTCAATTCAATTGCTATTATTTATATAATAAGTAATAACATTAATCTATTTACATAATTAGTAATAAAAAAATATATTATGAAATTTGAAATTAATATTTAAAATTAATATATCGAAGATTTCTTTTTATATCAGAGATATGTCGGCGGTGATGAGGACTGTTAATATCACTAGCATCACTAAAAACAGATACTGAAGATATTAATGAACACTTTTTTAAACAGGATGCGAAAAAAATAACTATATTGCAGAATGTTTATTAACTAATTATTTCTATTAAAAAAAATAAACATAAAAATGTATTTCGATTTTATTTATAAAAATAAATGGTTTTTTAGATATAATTTTTTTTAAATTTTGTTAAAAGCGCCATTTTATATCGGATCGGAAAATTTTATAATATTTGCCGATAACCGATATTTTAAAATGAGCGAAATATCGGCCCGATCCGATCCGATATAAAATATCGGTACATCCCTATTTTATATATAGATGTGACATCAGCTCAATAATTTTTTAGCTCACTTCGAAATTTGAATTTTAACAAGAGAATCCTAAATTAAGCAGTATGCACACCTTACATATGTAGATTAAAAATTGTATCTGCACCCAGATACGTTTTTAAAATATGTATCTATAATTAGATCTAATTTTTGCATATGTATCTACTTCGTTTAAAAGGTATCTTCTCTTGTATTTAGAATATAAATTTATAAGGGGTAAGATTTTTTGAGGTGGTAGGGGGTAATATTGTCATTGGCTTAGGAGAGCGTAGAAGTCCTGACCCACTCTCAGATCGATATGCATTGTGAACTCCTTTACCCTATCAATTTCCATTCATATCATCTTCCATTAGTAACCCTGAACATATATTCTGAGTCTAATCAAACTATTCAAAGATTTGTTACTTAATCTTGCATCTTGCTGGCAAGTAAACGTAATAGAGGGAAAAAATTATCGCACATAAGTTCACAAAAGGATTGGGATGCAGCTATTGTGTCATAATCCGCAAGAAATCTACAAGATCACTTCTTACAGACGCCAATGCCATAGGTTAGGGGTAAAAACATCTCAACCCTATAAATGCCACCCTTGTATTTTTCTAAGATACAAATACATAACACATGAAAAAAAATTAAAATTTATTATTTAAAGCCGATTCCTTCACATCTAGAACCGCGAGATGCTTCAGTAATCAATAATGCACGTCCTGATGGACATATTTTAATTCTCTGGGATATTGGCAAATATGTATTGGGAATTTATCTTATATTTTTGCGCTTTCTAATAATAATGATCCACTAGGTATTGCCGAGAAAAGAAAATCACAAAAATATTCACATCTATCCAAAACAGTGATTGTGGTACCAACAAACTGTTCATTCGGAAAAAGGCTAAATCTTTAGTCAAACGAATCAGTTAAAAAGGCCATAAAAAAATTTCGAGGACTTTTTTGATCACACAACAAATCAGCTTTGAAATTTTACTTTAATTATTTGAACATTCCTGGCCGTCGTCAGATGTAGGTGACTTTTTTTAACTTTTTTTAATGTTCATATTTTTCCCATTTTTTGATATGTATCTTAAGTTATATTACTATTTCTAATATGTTTTTTATACATAGTTTATAAGATATTTTTAATTACTTCATTTAATATGAAAAGAAATTATTTTTAATTGAATTTTTTTTTATTTTAACAATTAATTCAAAAAATGTCTCGCTTGATGCTCATGTTTAAAATAGTTAACATACCCCCTTCCCTAACACAAGCTAGATCAGAAGATTAAAAATGTTGATTAAAAGAGCAATCCAAAGATATTTTTTTATTTATCCATATGCAAGGATGTTTTATTCAAAAGGTTTCTTTGAAAAATTTGATCTTTTGATTTATTTAATGATACGGATGTATATAAGTATTGAAAGATCTTTTTATTTTGATTACCATGTCGTGATAGTAAAATTATTATCCACCCTTACTAATACTCATCTTGAAACATAATGTAAACATTCTTTTATTAGCTTTCATTGATACCTATAAACTTTTTCCTGAGACAAAGTGATGGTAACAACTTATGTTAAACGGCCCGATTTGGGATTTTTAAAAATGGCCCGAATAACCTAAAATAATGTTATATAAACCATCAAGATTTGCCAAATAGAGCTCCAAACATTTCTGGCACCTATGAATAAAATTCCCAGGCTTATATGATATTATTTAGGCTTAAATCTTAATCGCGCCATTTTAAAGATCAGGCCGTTTAACACTATTGGCAACCATTTATTCGATATGTCCTTTTATTAGAGCAGGTTTTTAACCCATTAATGGTCAAGATTTTTCTAGTGGATAAAAATGCTCAATTTTTTCAAATTATATTGATTAATGCTCAAATATGATATTCTAAAAAAATCAGCCAAAAAAAATAATCCTAAATAGAAAATCTAGCCTGGTGCATATATGCACCGTTAACCATTAAGAGGTTAAAAAAGATAAAAATTATATAAAATACTATAAGATCAAAAAACAACAAATATCTTTATTCTTTTTTTGTATATAATAAAAACGAGAAAATGTTTATATATTATGAAAATCCTTGAAACATATGGAGTGCGATTTGACATGTTTGGCACATATATCTTGAGTGCGTATGGCAATATCTGCATCTTCGTCTTTTTCCATCTATAATTTTGGATAAATAATGTCCAGATGAATCAATAGGGTTTTCACACTGTAATGCAAACTGGCTGGCGTGACCTGTACTTGAATTTTTTTCTATTTTTACTGGCGATCGAAGGAGGTAATTAGTAACTTCTCGTCTAAATGCAAGAAACTCTTCTTGTCATCTCGATTCGCGAATTTCCAGATTTTCCATGAATTTACCAAAGCTACATCAATAAAATTGGTGAATATTGGCCACCACCATTTTTTTCCTCTTATTTTTATTCTATATGTAGATATTAGATTATCACATAGATCAACTCCACCCATGTGTTTGTTATAAGCAGTTACCATATTTGGCTGAGGAATTTTTATTTTATATTTTCTTAGAATACCTTGAAACATTAGAAAGCAAAGAGATAGTGTGGCATGTCGATGCAACGGTCACCACCGAATTATCATTCCAACGAACTACAAATATTTCGTTTAATTTTTCAAACCTATAATCATAATATCCTCTTTCTTTTTTTGCTACAACCTTTATAGATTCAACTGGGCAATGCTCTATTCTATTGTCCCTCACAGTTCCAGTTGCAAAATATCCCATTTGTTTTAAGTATGACAAGAGTTTAAATGATGTAAAGAAATTATCAAAATATATTTTATGATAATTTGGTTTTTGCAATTTAATAATTTTATGATTACATTTCCACCTAATCCATATTCATATTTATTTTCGCTTTTTCCTTGATATATATCAAATGAGAATACGCAACCGTCGGAAGAAGCCAATATCCAAGACTTGTATCCGAATCTAATTGGTTTTCCTTTTATGAACATTTTGCAAGAATGTCTTCCTCGATATGGTATCATCTGTTCATCTATTGATAAATGATGTTTGAAAATTCCGAATTGCTGAAATTTATTATTCAATATATTAATGTAAGGCCTAACTTTATAAAATCTATCATGTATATCTATTTTAGTATTGTCTGCCAAATGGATATTATATTTCAAATTTCGAAATTGTAATTGGGTCATTGTATCCCGGATTATTGGAATAGAAATATCGCTATCATTAGACCAGTACATTCTTTCTTGTGGGAGAGAATGATATCCAGTAAATAATAGAATTCCAATAAATCTCTGAATATCTTGGATGGTTATGCATATGTTAGGTCTATTCATTTGTTTAGCATAAATATTACTTTGTTTTACAATTAGTGAATATAAGTCTTCGTCGAAAATTAAAGAAAATATATCTGATGGACTTTTACCATGTAAATCATTTTCAAGTTTTATTACATCTTCCTTTTATCCATTGAAAGGACTTGAAGAATATATTGCATCCGTTTTTCTCCATTTTAAATTGTGAGAAATTCGAGAATAGCTTCTTGTAGAATATGGTTCTGGAAGGTCGTCATCAACTGAATTATGAATCTCCAATTCTCCAGCTGTATCTGAAGGCAAAACTCCGACATTTGTTAAGTCATTTTCATCGAAATCTTCTTCATCACTAACTGCAGAGGGGTTTGGCGGAATTATAACCATATCTCTTTCTTCAATTGGTTCCTCTTCAAAAAGTTGAGCAAGCGTTTGTTCAATTGTTAGAAAACGTTTCATTAAAAAATTTTATTAAAAATTAAATATCTAGACAAATTATTTTCGTAGAATCTTGATTTTTTTATTAGTCATCTATTATTTTGATAATTTTGATTGAATTGACAAAACAGGTGCATAATATTTTATATAAATAAAATAAAATCTTCAGAAAGGAAGAGGCTAAAAATAATTTTAAACTTTTGAATATTTATGAACCTAATAATTTCATATAATTTGATCGGGATAAAAAATTATAATAGGAACAATATATTATTCGATTTAATCTCAGGGGGCTAAAAAAAATTTTTAAATTATTTTCAAAAGGTCTTTTTTTGGGTATAAAATTTTTTTAAAAAAATTCTTAGGGGGCTCGAGCCACCCACCCCTCCTCCCCCCACCCTTAGTGACGGTAGTGGTTTTAATATAAAAAATTATAATTCATTATGTTAAATTTCATTTGTTTGAATTTTTTAAATAATTTATACTGCTAGATGGTTAACGGTGCATATATGCACCAGTCAACTTTATGTGGTTACCTATTAAAATTTTAATTATTTAAAAATTCAAAAATGATTGATAAATATTGATATATCTATAAAGAATATATACACACTAGTTTTCATCGAAATAATTTTATAATATGCTTGTGAGATCACTTAAAAAATTTTGCATTTTAGACCTCATAAATTCGCAAAGTTTGAGGGTTTCTTAGGGACATAAAAAAATATTTTTTTCATATTTTTCTTTTCCAGTTTTGAAGTACAATGTCTGAACTATATAAAAATCTTTTTTATTATTTTTTAAAATAAAAACTACTATGTTAAAATAAGGTATATAGGAGGTGGTGCATATATGCACCGTTAACTAGTAACGGGTTAACCCCCATGACCTTGACACAACCACTTGAGCGATATTAGCATCAAATAATCTTTTTATTAGCTATCATTTGATACCATTGTCAAAATATTTTTATAAACAATTTATATTTTCCAGTCTTGTTAACGCTCCTTTTTAAAAGTTGCGACTCCCGCTCCTACCTTCTCAAAAGGAGCGAACTCCCACTCCCGCTCCAACTAATGGAGTGCCACTCCATAACCGCTCCTTTGATTTTCATTTTTTTAGAAGGTACACGAAACAAAATCATATTTTTTTATCAAAACGTTTTATTTATATTATATGATAATCAAAATATTTATAATCTTTTATTAGCTTTTAAAAGTAATAAATTTTCTAAATTAGAATCTAACAAACACCCACGCTTCTCCCCTAAGACCTGTTTTGCGATACTAAATAGGCGCTCCACAGGAGCACTAGAGGGAAGCGGGGTATTGTTAATATAAATATTTTTTAATTCATGGAATTGTTCAAAAATAGTAATTAGGCACTACCTTCTAAATCCACTCCAGCAATCAGCTGTGGTACACACATAAGATACTCCAGAAAGCATTTCTATAATATCATCCATCATTTTATCATAACGCAAACCTATCTTTGCTATTAGTGTTTGGCGTCACATTACCTTTGCTGAAGGGGAAAACGTTTTTATCATTTTGACAAAGCTAGGATTATCTACAGTTGATAAAGGAACTAGTGTCTCAATGACATAATCAATGATTGCATTATCTCCTTCAGTTTTTGTAGGTTCATATGTTTTTTGACTAAAATTTAATATTGACTGTTTTTTCTCAGAAGAGGAAGACTTTATATTTTGGCTAATATCTTTTTTATTATAACTATTGATATGATTTTCAATTTTTGAATATTGATTGATTATCATGTACTCTCTAAATATAAATTTATAAATTAAATTAAAATTTATTTTATAAAAATCAACTTTATTTTTAACTGATAATCTAAAACATCAAATTATTAAGGTAGATTTTTTAAATAAGAAATTGACAAATATTTAATGAGCAGTATAAATATCTTTTTAGGTACTTAATTTTTTTTTTATTATTTTGTTTTACTTATTTTATTAATATAAAATAAAAATAAATAATTATTTTCCAAGTTTATTGATCAAAATAAAATAAGAAAAAATCAAATTAAAATTAAATAAAATATAAATTTTACCATAATAAAATGTATATTTTAAATTTGGATGTTACAATTCAATTTAAAAAAATACTTTAAATTTAGAAAAAAAATGTATAAAAAGGAGGTTGAACAAGTAATGAGAAAATTAAAATAAATATAAAAAAGCATCATATCTGACAACCCAAGCTCAACTAATGTAATGAATTGCCCAAAAATAATTAAAACCATTTTAAAAAAAATTATTATAAAATAAAGAAATATTGATTTTACCTTAAGGTGTTTTTTTAAATTAAAGCTGCTGATTTTAGAGAAAGAAATCATTTTGTTGTTAATGCACAATAGGCATTTCGCCTTTAAGTTGACTTTATCATCTGTATCATCTATAAGCTTGAAATATTTTTTGTATGGTGGAAATGGAAATTCGGTTTCTTCTTCTATGATCTCTAAATCCATAATATCTAAAACTATTTTTTATTATATATCTATAAAATGAATATTAATATGACTTACAAGATTTTTCAAAAAATTTTCAATATAAAAAGGAAAAACTGATGTTTAATGTTTCAAATGATTAGATGAAAAATCAATATAAAACTCGGCTCAACATTTAATAATGAATAAATTTAAATAAAATAAAATTTTATTTTCATTAAATTTTAATTAACAAATATTATTAATATTTAAAAAATAATATAATTTGCTCCTCCGCTCCAGCCCTAAAAGGAGCTACTCCCGCTCCCGCTCCTCATTTTTAAAAAGGAAGGGCGGGAGTTTTTTGGAAAAATGTAACAAGACTGATATTTTCCCTCTTGACTTGAACCTGAGTAGTGATGATTAATTTTAATAGCTCTACATTTTTTATATTCATTTGATACCCTTGCTGAGATATTTTTTTTGGGAAAAATTTACCTCCTTAAACTCAAAAACTTCAAGCGATGTTTATAATTTTACGACTCAAAAATTAATAAATAATGTAAGGTAAGAACACTTAAGCTAAATGCACCTAAAAATATAAAACATTTTAAATAGTATATAAATTTTGAACAATTTCTATTTGCTGGGAGATTGGAAAAAAATTTATTAAATTGTATTTTTAATTCTGAGTGTTAGCCTTTTATTCTGAGCGAAATAATATATGTCTTTTATAATTACAGGTTTAAAATGAAGTTATGATCACATTTGTCAAATATTGTATAAATTTTATTGGCTCTTTTCTTTTTTATATATTATAATAATATATATTTGAAATTGTATATTTTTTAACAGCCTGCTTCGAGTCATAAACAAGACAAACTCAAAAGTAATAACAACCCACCTAGCAATATGGTAGCTGCCGCGAGTAAAGACAAATGTGTCAAAAGTAATAATAGCCTTGTTAACGATTTACTTAGTACTATTAATAATGTTGTTACCAAAACCAATAATAACGATCAACCAATCGATAATTCTTCTCTCCCTGATAACCCCTTAAATAAAGCGACCGAAAAGACTCCAAATAACATTGCCTCATCACCTGCTGCCAGTACAATTTTAAAAATATACTTCTATTATTGGAAACATTGATTTCAATAAGAAATCTTTTTTTTAAATATTGAATTCAAATTTTGCGAATTTATATCCCCAAAGTTTTCGATTTCTATATCATCATTCCCATGATTTTTGAATAATAAACAAACGACACTCCCAAATAGGGTGTACATTATTTTGTTTAAAACACAAACATTGTAATATTTGATGTATATTCTTAGTAAAACCAACGAAAACATTAGCCGATACCCACGTTGAAAAGCTAACCATCAAGAAAGCTAGTCCTATTATAACAGACATTGCAGAAAAACATAAATTGGTGCCAACCCCTCCAAGTCAAAATGGAATGATGCCTCTTGTGCATAAAGAGACAAATCAAGATTCCAGTCATAAGGATGTGGCTAAGGAAAAACCGACAGATGTCTTTAAAGTCAACGCTAAAGAGTAAATAAATTATCATATATGCTGCATTATTTTATAATTGTTAATAGGGTAACAAATGCCGATGTGTTGAAAAGGTTATTATCCCCCCAAAAAAGCTTCAGCAATGATGGAATCACAGGTTTATTTAAAAATCAAAATCCAATATTACCATTTACACCCTTATCTCAACGTACACCTTCAAACAGGTTTAGACCTTCAAACAGGTTTAGATTATATAAAAATGGCTCAAAAATCCCCCTTAATAACTCCAAAGCGAAATTTAAACACAAATTACACACCTACTCACGGCAGTAGAGAAAAGGATAAAATAACGGATGGTTTAGATAAACCTATTCACGTTCCCATACCTCGACAGAATTCAAAGTCTATTAATTTGGCAGAAGATCGCAGAAATTCGGGCATAAATAGTGACTACAAAGTTCATTCCATGAATTCCAAGGCTCGATCTAATTCCCCTGACTTTCAAGCTGCTGTTCAATCTAATCCTTCGCATTTCTTGCAAGAGATTGGAATTAGTTTGTTGATTTAATAAATACTTATTTTTACTTATACCTGTGTGCCTCATGAGGGCGAAAAGGCCAAAGCCGCCAATTGAGGAAATGTATTGGCAGTATACAGCCAACACATTTTTTTTAAAAAGTTTTTCAGTTATTTAAATATTATAATTTATAAATTTAATTAATAATTTTTTAAACTTTAAAACGGTTATAGATTGTTATTCTAATAAAAGAATGATTCAACCCGTTCTTTTTCACAGTAAGTTTAGCGAAAGCTTTATTTTATATATTTATCAGTGTTGTTGAAAAACCCTACTTTTAAAAGTAGAATGCTACGACTTACTATTTGCCAAAAAAGATAGTGTCACCACTACTTATTCAATAAAATAGTACGCTACAAATTGTTTTATTTTTTTATTATAATGTAAATGTATATTTAAATCAACATTTATAAATACTTTAAAAATTCAATTATTGATTACAAAAGAATTTATACAAAATAAATAATGGAAATCACCCAAGGATATTGGCTGAACTATATCAGTGATAAAATTGACAATGACTTTATCAGTCAGTTTCTGAAAAACATTTGAATATATACTAAGATTAATTAATGTGATTTAAATTAAATTCATTTTTTGGGGTATTGCCACCTCTATACCAAAATTATTCAGATATTTTTCTATCTTTGGTTGACATGAACATTCTAAAAATAAATAATACCTTAACTCTTTAGGTTCCCTGATAAAATTAATATGATGCAACGATATTTAGTAATTTATTGTTTCATGTATAGTATAATATGAAACCCACAAAAAAATTTTTTTAAATTTAAAATGGCGGCTCTCTCTGATGGTTTCAAATTCATATCATAGACACATTATGAAAACTTTCGAAACAGTTTCTATTTTTATTTAGACATAGTGGTACGTTGCATGATTTACACGACCACCTTGTTCTTCTGGGATTTAACTTTGTACTACAGTGGGCACACTTTCTGGAGGTTCCTGTCTGAGGTTGATGAGCTGAGTTTTTTAGTCTAATTTCTGGAAGGATATAAGGCTTATTATTTTTTCTTTGCATTGATATATAATTTTTATCATTCTCAATATTATCATCCCTATCAACATTTTTGCAGTGTGCCAATTCACTAGCAATTATTTGTCTTCGGAATTCTTTCAATGAGAGTTTATTATCTGTAAGAATATTGTAGATTATGAATGAATTGATAATTGCCGCATCAATCAGCCAAAAGAATATTGCCAGCCACCATTTTCGCCACTTTCGCGAGATTTCATATAAAGACTTTAAATGGTCGAAATGGTCAACAGACCCCATAAATTTATTATATATCTTTATCATCATTGGACATTTTACGTCAAATACTTCCCCTTTTTTATTTTTTCTCTTCACAGTATCCACTGATCTCGGATCAATATAATTAGACATTATAAATACTTCCCAATTATCTCGCCATTTAATTATACTTATCGTATTTTTATCACTTCTCCAGTCAAACTCACCTCTTGTTAATTTTGTTTCCATATTCTTTATGGGCAAATATCTCCTATTTTTGTTTAATGTTCCGGTAGCATATATACCTTTCTTTTTTAAATCGGATAATAGAGTATAACTAGTAAAATAATTATCGAAAAATATTTTATGATTTTGAAGTCCTTCGCAAAACTGTGTTACAATATTATAACCTAGATTACTTTCAACCTCTTTATTTTTCCCAGTATAGATATTAAAATCATTCATATATCCTGAATTATCACACCTCATCCATACCTAAAAATATAGTTTAGTCGAAATTAATAATGACAAAATTCACATATTACCTTGAAACCGCGTTTAGTAGGTTTCTTAGGCATATATTGCCTAAATCCTATACGGCCTTTGAACCTAATCATTCCTTCGTCAATTGCTTGATATTCCGAGGGAAGAAAATATTTTAAGCAAGAGGAACGGATATTATCAATGAATGGTCTTATTTTGTATAATCTATCATAATTTTCATCATTTCTTGATGGTTCTAATATATTGTCATTTATATGGATGTGGCTCATAAGCCAAATAAAACGTTTATTTTCATTATGGATGAAACGAAATTGTCATGGAATTCTGGTTTAGAACTCCAATAATCTTTGTAATTTGCCATATTTTTAATTCCAAAAAGTATATGAAGACATAAAAATTTTCTTATTTCTGTAGGAGTTGTTGGTTGATATTTAATATTTTTTTGTTGGGCATATAAATTGGTATTGAATGTAATTGTATTTATTAATGAATCATTAATAAATTTTATATATATCAGATGGATACAATGGGTCTTTTTTTAGGGATGATATTGGACCTGATATTTTATCAAATTCTAATACTGGTTCTGAAAAATATTTTTTGCACCAGATAGGATTATTATGGTTTGTACCAGATTGATCATTCCAGTAGCATACGCAGGAATTTGGTGTAGGGGGGGGGATAATTAAAATTTTTTAAAATAAAATTATTGTTATTTAAAAATATCAAGCATAAATTTATTAGGACTAATAACTATTTCTAATATACAAATTTAAATTAATATGAATTATAAAAAATTAAATATATAAACCAATATATAAAAATAAATTTGATTTAAAAAATATTAAACGCATATAACCGGCGGCATATAAATACTTTAAATAAATCTGAATTATAAAATATTAAGTGGATATAACCAGGATATGATGACTATAAAATAAATAATCCATAATAAAAATTTTAATTTTTTTGAGCTTTTAAAATTTATATATAAAGTATAAAAAATCTAAATGTTGGAAATATGAATAATTATATTTTTTATGTAAAAGAAAAATATATAAGACATTAAAAAATGATAGCACAAAAAATATTATAGAAACATTATATTTTTATAATAAATCCAATCTTCGTTGGGAGGGAGCTAATTTTTCAATTATCTCATCCGTGTTTGGCTTCAAATGCCTATGAATATTCAAAAGGGCCAGACCATTCAACCTACTTTCAGAAGTTGTACTTCTTAGGTACGTTTTTAATCTTCTCGAAGAAGAGAATGTTCTCTCATTAGTTGTAGTACTAATGGGAAGAGTTGCTAATATCTATAATAATTTCAATATATTGGGAAAATAATCTAAAAGATGTTTAAAATGATGCAAAGCATCATAGCATTTTTGGGACTATATCAACCATAGTTAATCTTTTATACCATAGTTGGCATTCAGCTAATAAAGCATCATGAGATACATTAATGTCTTCATGATAAAAATCTTCCAAATATTTTATTTTTTTTCTATCACCACCTGAAAAAGGTTCAGAGGGCTTTTGCGGAAGTAATATCTACAGATTGATAAGTGTTTCTTGATAAATTAAAAACCTTTCATTTACTTGGGTTATAAATGTATCCAAAAGAGGTATAATTTATTTTATAATATTCTTCTATTGACCCTATATTAATATTTGGACGATAAGTTTGCCTTACTGTAAGTCGAGGGAGACAAATATTGAACTCCTATAGCTCTGCTTTTGATTCAACATTAACATATAAAATATGAAATTCCTCATCAGCATTAGCTCTAATTTCTTTGAGTTCTAATAAAATTGTCTCTGCTATTCTCATCATCTCAATCAAATCATTATCAGGTTTTTGAAAAGTATTACATAAAATAGTTGTATAATTAAATAATTTATTAATACATTCTAATGCGAAAAAAAAATTTGGTATAAGTATTGAATCCAGTAACTTGCTTGCTTCTGAAGAAATATCTTTTTCAGACATTGTGATATTTCTATAGACTCCATCTTGTTGGACAAACTTTTTGCATTTTTTTTCTCCTTGTTGGGCAAGGAGTTTCAGATATAATTCTGTTCAAAATATTTTGACGCTTGGGGTATCTAAATATCTCATAGATGCTAGATATTTTACCTGATATAAATATAAAAAATTTAATTTAATAATTAAAAACCTAAGCAATTTGATATCAATGGTAAAGAACATTAATCCGATATTGCTAAGTTGAGTGAATGGGCAGCACAGTGGACATATATAGCTTTTGGGCATTTTTTTTTAATAAATGTCTGAAGCCCATTGAATTGTCCACTCATTGCACGTGCTCCATCATACCCTTTCCCACGTATCATATTTATATTTAGCTATATTCTTTAAAATAAATATATAATAAGATTAATTATTACTTTTAATTTTTTAAAATTCACAAATATTACATCAAAAGCAGACCCAGTCATGCTTGAAACAGGAATAAATTGGAGAAACATTTCCCTGATAATGTTTTTATGAGTATTTACATATCGCGCACACAACGACATCTGCTCAATGCCAGCAATGTCCGTAGTCTCATCTGCAAAAATTGAGCATGGGGCAGAATTGATTTCAACAATCAATTTTTCTAAAATGATATTGTTGCAAATATCAATTATCTCATTTTATATCCTAGGGCTGAGATAAGTAGCATTTTTATTGGTACTGACGAGGCTCTCCATTAATACAGGATCTCCTAATGCTTTAAATTTTAAAAGTCCACGGAAGTTACCTTCGTATTATTAAAATTTAAGCTTCCTGAATCCTTGTGGCCACGAAGTGCTAGGCCTTGCAAGCCACAATATAAAATAGCCTCAATAGTTAGTTTTATCTTGCCTCTATTTTCTTTTGCAATTTTAACCCTATTTTTATCAATTATTGATGAAATGGGAATCATATTCCCCTTTTGAATTGATTCTTTTGAGGAAATCATCAGTTCACAGCTTTTGTTATTTAAATTATCATACTATACTTTTTGGCATGATTTTCACCTTCAGAGTTTTTAAAAAAAGTCTAATATCCATGACTAGAAATTTGAAAATTATAATACCGGGAAATTTAAAAATAATAGATAAATATTACGCCACAAGGAAAACTTGAAAATGAAATTAATTGATAAAGTAAATTAGTAAATGAAAAAGGTAATAATATAAAAATTTAAAAAGAAATAGATATAAATAATTAC